GATGTTTTCTACATTCAACAAAACCTCAGTGGCTCTGCCCTCTTCTTGGCTCTGCCTACATGTCTTTTTATTCAAACTATCAAATTGGATAACTTTGCTTTGGATAAAGCATGTCTTGTAAGACCACAATACCTGATGGCTGTGATGAGATCATGCTGTGTGCAGTGCATTATTTACCAAATACTATTATCTGGATACAGAAACTATTTTCAATTATAGGTTTGATAAAATGGTACTCTATTCTCTTGTTTAGGAGAATGCTTCAGCTTGCTGCTGGGGTAATAACTGCTTGACAATCTCCAAGGGTGGAGATTAGCGAAAGGAAAAGGGAAAAGGGATCTTCCTTCTTCATATCTAAGATTTCAAATATCTACTCTCTTCTCACTGCTGGAGCTACCATGCATGCACTGGAAAGCTGGAACTGAAAGATCTCTGTTACAGTATCCTAATGATCAGTTATTAGAATATCTCGAAAGACAAATTTGGATAGGTTATACTATACCTACCACAAATGTTTGGTTCATATAGCTCACAATGCAACACAATAGAAAGTCTCAAAGGTACTATGTTGAGAAACAAGTAATGAATGAGTGCAGTGTCTATGCAGTATTTTTATTAGTGAATAATAAATTATAGATAAAAATTGTTCATTTTAATTGTAAATATTCAAAGTATAATTGTAAAAATAAAAATTTATAAAAGCTTGCAAGAGTAAGACTTTATTAATTTATTGTTGATTTGGGGTGTTGTAGAAGATAATTTTTCCAGTTATTGATTTTCATCTTGGTTTTGATTGGAAGTCGGAAGGAAGCAATCTCAACTACTTAATTGTATAAAAAATTGCATAGAATCAGGATGCTGGAAGAAATTTTTTTTTCTACTTTATTCTCTTTAAATAATATTTTGAATGTAAATCATTTACTTGATCTACAGCTAGAAAGGGAAGATTTAATCTAACCTCTCTGATTGTTTTCTAATACAATGTATGTGTGCTATGGCACTCCTCCTTTGAATACTATAGAAATAGACCATTGCATTCAGCTTTTACTGAGCATCAGCTGTATGCACACGGGTGCCAATAAATTTAAATAAATTAAAAATCAGTGAAGACTAGATAGCTAAGTAGTGCTTTCATTCAGAAACCAAAGTCCATCTTTTTGATATTATTGATTTTTCTAGTCAGTTCCTATTTTATTTACATTTGGAAATGGTTTAAAGATGTAAAAGTGTTCAAAAATGGATTGATGCCACTAAAATAGTTTTTGCAGAAACATGTTCAGCAGTTTTGTGAAATTGTATGACCATGCAAGTATTTTTGGTTTCTAATTGTCAGTTATAATTTTTCTTCTAAAGTTATAGCTGCCTCCTGCCTTGATTGTGATGTCTTCACAGGCCCTGTCCCCCTATCTCTTTCACTGTCAATGAGTTATGTTGCTCATACTCTATTTTTATTTGACCTGAAGCCAGTTGTAAATGTTCCAAAGGACAAAACCAGAACTGGCATGACTTCTACTCCTTCAAGCTGGCCTGCTGAAATGATGGATAATTGTTAGTGACTACTGTACTGAAGATTGAGTCCTTTCTATTTTGCCTGATTTATATTGGCCTTCCTATATTTATTCATAGTTCATAAACTAGACAGTTCTCCATTACTTAACCATGAAAGTAATGTTGTCAATATTGGTAGCTTCTAAAAGTCTTTTAGAAATCTCATTTTGCTTTATCTTATGATGCATTAGTCCTTCGGCTAATGTGAGTAATGGGTTATAAAATTAGAAGTTCCCATTCTCTTTCTAATCTCATAAAGTAATGATACTTTTGCCCTCTATGAACGATCAGATATCAAAAAATATTTTAAGCAAGGAAAATGGAAAGTCTCAGAAAAAAAGAACAGTGACATTCTCTTTATTTCAGACTAATTGTTCATTCTTAAAGTTTTTCTTGGTTTATAGACTAGCTAATATCAGCAGAGTTAATAATGAATGTTTTCATATAGATAGCACTTAAGGAGTTTTTTGTTTTTGGTGTTTTTTTTTGTTTTGTTTTGAGAGGCAAAATGTAATAGGTACTGGACATGGGAACCAGGGAAGTGTGGGCTTCAAATTCTGCCTCCTACATATTACAGGGTCATAGATTTAGGGCTGAAAGGGAACTTGGAGAACATCTTGTCTGATCCCCTCATTTTATAGGTGAGGAAATGGTGCCCAGGGAGTTTAATATTAACAACATTATACTATTTATGTAGCAAATTTATCCTCTGTATTGTCTCCCTCATTAGGCTGTGAGCTCCTTGAAAACAGGGATTGTCTTTTAACTTTGTATCCTCCGTGCTTGGCACATAGTAGACATTTAATAAATGCTTATTGACTAACTAATTGACTAGGAGAAATGAAATTTGAACCTAAGTATTTTCACTCCAAATCCAGTGATTTTCCCACCACAGCATGCAAAACTAGAGGACTGATTGGATTTGGAGAGAAAAGACAAAGTCAAGCATGACTCCCAGTTTTCAAGCCTAGGAGAATGACAGAAAAGGGGAAATCATGAAAGGGAGATCTGACTTTGCTACTCCAAAAAGAGTTTTGTTTTTGTTTTTGTTTTAGACACAAAAGGTCACACAGGCACTAACTGGTAAAATTGAATTGTGGTCCCCTGCTTCTAAATCCAACAGTCTTCCCACCGTGCCCATTGTTTGCTATGCTGAGTACAGCTGTGGATTTGACTCCAAACAATTGAAATAGCCTCTAGGGTATGAGCTGGACTCACAAAAAGAGTTGTCAACACTACCTTGTGAAGAAGAGTCATACACAGCAACTGCAATTAGGGGAGAACCAACTGGTTGCAATGGGGCTCAATGGAGAACTAGCAAGAAGGCAGCACAGTGGAGGAAGCAACCCATCAGACAGTATCACTAGATGTCAGCAGATGACATCAGCAGCTCAGCAGAGGAGCTAGAAATGGCAGCTTTAGGGCTAGCCAGATGTTCCAGCTGGAACCAGCACTAGGAGTATGAGGTGTACAACCTCACATATTCTCCTTCCCAGTAGTTGTGTGGGAAACTGTGTCCCCCTATGCACATGATAGGATTTTTATTGTTATTTACCTTGCTATTCTGTTTAATTAAATATTTGTGTTTTAAGTTAAGTTAATATGTTTTTGGTGTAAAACAAAAACACATTACCTTAACATTAAAATTCAAAATTAAATAACAAAAAAATGAAGGAACAGCCTCAAATTTGGGGTAGAGGACATGGTTTTGAATAGACGCTCACGATAAGTGTGCCTTGATCTTAGTTATGGCTTTCAGGTTCTGAGAAGAACCCAGGTTGCATTGCCAAGAATATGATCTTAATGAGGGGAAGCAAAGGAAGAGGAGGCAAGAATAAAACTAGGAAGTCTCTTGTGTACTTTTTGCTACTACTAGACTTCGGAAGGACCTCATACCACTTCCACCGAACTGATGTGTCTTTACAGACGTGGAGAAAAATATACATAGTGGTGGTGGTGGATGGCAACATTTAAATGAGCAAATAAGCATTTAATAGCTTGCTTCTGTTTTACCTCTTAGACTTCCTTTTTCCACCCTCTCACTTCTCTCTCTCCCCATAATGATCTGTTGAGTGAACCTTCTTGTTTGTATATTGTTGGGTGGAAGTGGTTAAGGAAGAGGGAAAAATATAGTAGATTATTTTAAATGTGGAGCACTTTTCTAAAAGAAGCAGCAAAAACCCCATCATTCAGTCATTTTAAAATGATTTGTCTAGTTATAGAAGTCAGGGACTAGTAAGATACATATACACACACACCACTGACTGAAAATGGACCAGATAACTTCTTAGATCATTCTTGTTTTTGATTTCTATGATTCTAGAATGGACCAAATTGAATATGCAAATTACATATTCTTTAATTCTTAAAAATTTTCAGTCAAAGTTAAGTGGAAAACAATCATCTTCTCAAAATATGTGCACAGCCCAGGAATTGTCAATCTCTTTGACCAATTTAGCTGGGTTTTCGTTTTGTTTTGTTTTGTTGTTTGGTCAAAGGCTGCTTTGTAACTGGGGTGCAATAAAATAACTTGATTGTGAGTCTGTTGCAGCAGATCCCATGTTTAATTGTATCTTCTGAATGCAATTTACTTTTGTCAACTTGGATCACTTATTTCTCTCTCAATCCTTGTGGATTGAATACTTGTATTCTTGAATGAAATTTAATATTACAGATTTTAATTTAATACCTTATAAAGTCAGATATAGAGTAGCATTTCAATGGTGAATGCCTCTGTAAGTCTTTTATAACAAAACCCAAGAGAAAACTGTGATTTAAAAATTTTTTGTGGCTACCGAATGATATAGTAGCTAAGATAAATAACTTCCTATGAGTTAACACTATTAACTAACAGAGTATTTGAGATGCTTTATTACTTATTAAAATGTGGAAATGGATCTTAACTTACAAATATGTATGAATTTAAATCACTTCATCCAGAAAACATCCAAACTATTATATATAGATAGAAAAGAAACTGCCTATTTAATTAGTGTTCCTTCAATAGAAATTTAGAATGAGTTCAGAGTCCTACTGGGTTCAGACTGTCTAGAAAAGTCAATTTCATTTGATTCTGGAATTTTATCTATATAGTATTATGTAAGTAGCAGTTATTTTGCTCAGTTAACAAAGTAAGGAAATAGAACTTTAGCTTCTTGAATTCCCTAAAATAAAAGAATATTTTCAGCTGTTTAATATAATATTGGTTTAAAAATGTCACAAAAATTCCCCCTTTTGTTTTTGAGTTAAAAAACAGTGACATGAGCATAACAATTTTTTTTTCAAAAATGGCATTGTACTCACAATTGTCATTCTCATTAAATGTCCTTATCCATTTCTTAGAAACTATTCTGAGAAATGGATAAGGACACTTAATGAGAATGACAATTATACTGTCAAAGGTATTTCAGGGAATGAAGGATAATGGGAATGTAACCACTTAATTTTTTTAGTCCTAGGCCACCAATTCCTCTGTCTCTCCTTCTGTCAGAAGAAGAAGCAACCCTCATCATCCAGTCATTCTGGAGGGGCTATCTGGTAAGACATGTGTAATTACCCTGTTTGGTTTGATGTTGAATCTTTGTGACTCAGAAAGCGCATGATAAAACTTTTAAATAAATTCTATAAACAGAGGTTACTATAAATAACACCCAGACCTCCAGAGATCCCTGGGTAGTAGATGTGATTACAAAACTCCCAATTACTTGAAAAGTAATTCTGACTTCTTTTCAAAATACATTTTTATTTCATTTACCTCTGAATTTACCGTTGAATCAATTGAAATGTATAGCATGTGCTACAATTAGTATAATACTATTTTTCTGCCTCCTAGTTTATTTTTTCAGATTGAATAGTAGTAAGTACTATCAATTTGCCATGTAAATGCTAGTTGCTATTCTGACGTTTTTTTTAAGAGAAGTAGTAGAATTCTGCCCAAGTCTGATGGATGTTCAAGGAGACTAGTTCACGGATGGAAGATGAGTGTGGCATAAACCAGCATAGAGAAAGCCTCCTTGAATAGAAGTGGATATACACAAATTTGACTGTTCTACCAGTTGATAAGATTTTCTTTCCTCTCTGGTTTTAGAGAGCTCATTCATACACACTGCAGAACTGGCATGGGAAAATCGAATGGATATGAATTCTAGTTCTAACTCTAACAAATTAATCATAGTAACATAGATTAGGCTTAGAATAGTAGGAAGAAACCTTTAAGGTCATCTAGTCCAACCCTTTTATCTTACAGATGAAGAAGATGGGGCCCAGAGGTCAATGACTTCTCCTAGAGATAATAAGTAGCATAGTGGGGAAATTCAAGCCCAGGTGCAGCACTCTTTTCATAATACCATGCAGTGAAGATTTATTGGGTGCATTCTTTGTTCAAGGTACTCTGCAAGATATTAGGGATACAGAGAAATATGAGATATGCTCCCTGACCATAAAGATTTTATGGTATATTTGGAAAGAAAACATATATCAACACAAGGATGACTAATAGTTTAAATAATAATTCTGACTCAGGTCATATAGCACATTGATGTTCACAGGGTACTTTTAAAATACAAGTAAAAGTATCATAAGCATCTACATTTTACAAAAGAAGAAACTATAGTTTGGGCAGGTGAAATGACTTGTGAATGGATAAGTATCCCTGTTTTATAGAGGAATCTCAGATAATTCCTGTTAGAAGTGGGATTGGAATGAAGGTCCAAAGCCAGTTGGCTTTCTCCATTAAACTACATAGCAAGGTGATTGTTAAGTGAATGATTCAGCTAACAAGTGCTTTAAGAATTCAGAGTAGCCATAACATAATAGTAGATAGAAAGCTGGCCTGAAAGACCCTGAATATAAGCCTCACCTCTGGCACATACTATGTGACCCTGGGAATGTCACTTAACCTCTTAGTGCCCCAGGTGACTCTCCAAAGCTAGAAATTGCAAAGCAAGTGCCCACCTGTATAGGTAGAGGAGTTTCCTATACCAACACAATTATAGATCAGGTCTAGGAGGAAAAAAGAGAATCTAGAGAAGGGATTGCTCCCTGGGAGTTGGGGTAGTCAGGAAATTTTCGCTGAACAAGTAGTACCACAGGCAGGCTTTTGAAGAAAGAAGATTTAGATAAATGAAAAAAGTGGGAGGGGGGGTGGGTGGTCCCAACAGCAGACTTATTAACAGAAAAGGAAAGTGATATGATCAGAATCACAAAACATTGTGGGATCTGGGGGACACAATCAGTAGACCAATTTGTCTGGACTAGAAAATTTATGTAGGGGAGTTGTGGGAGACATTGAGACATTGTTGGAGGTATGGTTTGGGGACCTAAATGTGGTCTTGAATGCCAAACTATTGGAGCTTAGACTTTATCCTTTAGTTATTGGATAGGGTAGTTCCCTGGTTTGTACATTCTCTCCCCCTTACCTCTTATATAAAATGTGGTTTAAAAAGCAGTTATATCAAAGCACTTTGGAAAGACTTGGAAGATTGTTCAGCGATAATGGTGAAGAGTCATCATTGTATTCCTCTTATTTCTAGTAGAGGTTTTGAGTTTTTAATGTACTTTTCCTAGTATAGAACAGTCTTCTTTTTTTTTGCCTGATACAAGTAATTTTCAGTTATCCATAACAATGACCTTACACCAACCAGTTGCTTAACCTTTCTATTCTTCTAGATTTTCAGAGATTACTTAAAAGCATCAGATTGCTTTTGTATCCCGAAACTCAGTGTCCTAACTTGTCTGGCATGAAACCATTTAAACCAATTGTAAAGCATATTTTAACCAGATGCATTAACAGAAATATCACAGTATGTGAAAGGCTATTTTGAGTGAATGTTGCATTGTAGCTCTGATTTTATAATTAGCATTGTAAGTATATTCTAGATATTTATTGCTAGACGTTTGTACATCATGGATTTAGACATGTGCTTCTTCCTTCTATCCAGATGCTAAACTAGCTGTTGGAAACCCAGATTGTCTTAATATATCAATTTTTATGTTCTATCTATTTGTATAATATGGATGAGATCTCTTCCTTTAAAACCTTTTCAGAAGTGTGAGGTGCAGTATATCACACTGCATCCAAGAGTTAATAGTCTCTAATGAGGAGAAAATTAAAATGAAGGATACTCATTCTCTAAGACAAATTGGAAAATTAGGCTAAGAAAATGACAAAATATCCATTACCCTTTGACCCAGATATCCTACTGCTAGGCATGTACCCTAAGGTCCTTAAAGATAGAAAAGCCATGAACTAAACATGTATTTATAGTAGCACCTTTTGTAGTAGCAAAGAATAAGAAACAGATGTCCATTGACTGGGGAAAGGCGAAACAAATTGTGGTTCATAAATATAATGAAATATCACTACACTTGAAGAAATAATGAATATGAAGAATATAGAGGAGGCCTTTTCTGCATGTGGAGTCCTGCTGCTGCTGCTAGTTCCTTGTCCTCTGGATTACCTTCCATTTACTCTGTATATATCTTGCATATACCTAGTTGTTAACATGTTGGCTCCCCCATTAGAATGTAAGCTCCTTGAGGACAGGTACTATTTTTCCCTTTCTTTGTGTACCCAAAACTTGGCACAGTCTTTGGCACAAATTAAGTCCCTAATAAATGCTTTTTGACTAACTTACTGATATAAGTAGAATTGGGAAAATTATATATATATATATGCATGTGTGTATGTGTATCTATATATATATAGATACAGGTACACACATATATGCATATACATATACACATATATGCACATATACGTATAATACCTATACATACATATACATACACATATCTATATATATACATACACGTACATATATGAATGATGTTAACTGGATGGAATTGGCCTCTAACCTGTGGGTGGCCAGAGCGAAGCAGGCTAGAGACAGGAGAGTCAGGAATCAAACAGAAGTTTAATTTCAAAGTGAGGAAAGTGGCTTGCAAAGCCCTGCCCCTAGTGGGGGGGCTCAAAGCAATGTGGGGAAATCTCAATACTTATACCTATGGCTACACAGTGAGCTGTAGCCCTGACAGTGAAGGGTAACAGCAATAATGTGACAAGTTTGATTCATAGCAGGGCTTCCTGGCCAGAAACAATTCTGAGATTTTGCTGTGGCTGAGATCATCCAGAGGGTGAGTGCAAGGGATTGTTGTTATACCAAACTCAGGGCACAGCCTGCTTGCTGGGCCTTAGCTCTGGAAAACAGGGTGTCTCCTAATATCTTGACAGAAATGTCTATATCAATGTAAAAAGAAAGAATGAGAACTACCACAACTGAATACTGTGTAAATGTTGTAAGTATAATGACTGCTTATAACCTGCAAGAAGAGATGAGAAAAAGCCGCTTTCTCCCTTCTTTGCAGAGGTGGGTGACTTCAGTGTGGAATTTTGCATACATTGACATACTTGATTATTATTGCTGAACTGCTTTTCTCTTCTTTAATTTTTTTTTACAAGAGATGGTAAGGAGAATGGAAGGTGATGTTAAAACAAAAGATATTAATAAATTTATTTAAAAGTAGATGAAGGGTACTAACCTAATAATTGGCATAGAAAACACTGCCTCTATGTTAAATTCAAAGGAGGCAGCTAGGAGGCTCAGCAGAGTGCTGGGCCTGGAGTCAGTAAAACTCAACTTCCTGAATTCAAATCTAGCTGCAGACACTTACTAGCCATGTGACCTGGACAAGTCACTTAACCCCGTTTGACTCAGTTTCTTCATCTGTAAAATGATCTGGAAAGGGAAATGGCAAACCATTTTAGTATCTCTGCCAATAAAACCCTAAATGTGGTCAAGAAGAGTTGGACATGACTGAACAACAACAAATAGTAAATTCAAATATGACTCTTATGATGCTCAGTGGTTTGAAATTCCTTTAAATCTCTTGCAAGGAAGACAAGAAATAAATCCATTGAGTATATATTTCCAGTTACAAATGCCTTTGAAAGTTTATTTTCTTTTTGTTTTTCCTTACTTTTCCTTCTCCATGACCTGAGTGTGAACACCCAAAATAAGATTAATTAGGATCAATAATTTTTCCCATTCCCATTCCCATTCCTTCACTCTGTGAATATCAGAGAACTACTGATTTCCATTAACTTTCATATGTTGACTTTCCAACAACATCTTACCTAATTAGCTCTTGCCAATTGTTCTAAAGATGATGTTTTTGTTGAAGTATCAAAGTTTAAAAGATTAATGTTTGACATTAATTAAACAACTCACCAAAGAGTTAATAGACGTTCAATATGCTTTACTCATTGAAAAGACTAGGCGATCTGGAGTATCCTATAGCATAGTAAAAATGCATGAAGCTAATTGGCCCATTTGGGGCTCACAGACTGAACTAGGTTTGGACATTTTCTTGTAACAGCCCTGAGGAAGCAACTCAGTTTTCTTGGGGTCCTTCAGACCAATTATGATTCATGGGCCAACTAGTTGTAAGTGATCCTGGCAAACTATATATTTCTTGTAGGAACACATGCTAGGCTAGGATTCTGGGGCAGGAAGTATTCTCCCCCTTGGTCTGGCCCC